CGAAATACAGATGTTAGAAGAGAATTGAGTAATTAATCAATGGGGGCCACTTCAGCACACTCCAGTATATTTTTTCCTTTAGCATCCCTCCCTCTTGTGTTTATTAAAATAAAAATCTCACTAATACAAACTTATTTTCTGATACATGTTTCTGCCAGCTGGACCAGAAAATACTGCTGAGACTGGCCTGCATGAAATTATTTCAATTATTTGGTGGGTAAAATAAGGCATGTTGTTTTTAAAACACATTCAAGATTTTCTATACTCAGATGAGACTTTATCTGCCTTCAGCTTCATGTTTATATACTAAATGTCCTACAGACTCAAACTCTCCATCCTCGTGGCCGAGTCACAGACAAATGCCACTAACAGGAAGCTGCCATCCTCTGTGTTCAAGGAGTACCTGGAATTTAAAAATTCTGTAACCACGACTTTGTTGTGAAACTTAATTATTTAAAGGGCGCTTTGTTGGTTGTTAGGTGTATGACCGTCGAGGCGTCTTTAGACACCCCAGGCACACATTTGAATAACAACTTTCTTTTCCCAATGGTCATCCATTGAGTCAAATCAATTTTTATTCCTAGGTCACTTGTACGAAAAGACTGCAGTGTTCATAGAATCTTATTCCACAAACAGTTATACTAAACTCCTGAGATTCTCTTTTAATTAAATGGCACACAACTCAACGGTTATTAAATAGGCCAACCCTTTGTGAATCTATAAGCCCTTAAGACAGGGACAAATAAACAAAGATGGTTGCATGAATTATAAAAACAAAAAAAGAAAAAAAATGGGGGAAGGGTTAAAGAGAAAAGAAAAGAAAGGAAGAAAGAATCTGAACAGAACCCTGCCATAGAACCTCTATGCTCCAACCTGATCTTGTTTTCCATGTGACTTTACCTGTTAAGATGATAATTATAATCACAGCAAATATGTCAGGGTTTTCGGCCAGCACCCCGGGGGCATTCAGAGCCATGTGTGTCCGTGAAAACTCCCCGATGGGTTTGCCTATCAGCTCGTCAAACGTGGCGCTCCAGGCTCTTGCTACACTTGAAGTACCTGCCACAAAACACACGCACCAGATGCGAGGAAAACAGTTAGCAGCATATTTGTCATCGGGCTAGATGTTTACCGCTTCCACACAGGGATCACAGACAACACTGAAATCTTGCAGCAGCTCCAGACCACAGTAGAGGCTAAGCCAGAAGTGAGGGCAGCTAGCGTTTGATGTGGAAACCAGGAAAAGGCTTCTAGGGCCTGGAAAGAAATGCATTTTAATGTCACAACCCAATACACATACATATACTGTGCGTTTCAAATACATATACCCAAATAAAAATTTTACAAAACAATAGTCACGTTACAACCTGAGGGGCACTCTGATAGCATTTACTCAATTCTACCTATTTTATTTCATTAAAAAAAAAAATGCTGGTGACATCTCATGAAATTGATTTCAGAGTGCACTCCTGGGGTACAGTCGGCAGTCTGGAGAAGTATTGCTTAGGAAGCCCCATTTCCAAGACCCTCCTGGCAGCACATCTGATGGGCACCTACTCCCTGAGAACACTGTTCTTCCAGCAAGAAGAGGGGTCCAAGAAGATCTAAGAAGGGGCGGACCCCCACTTCAGGGACAAAGCTACCTGCTCAGCCCAGAGGCGTCGGCCACCTCTGCCATTTTATGCTTCAGCCCAGGCTTGCACCACCTGCCTCAGAGTCCAGGCATCCCCAGAGGGCAGGACCATAGACAAAGCCCAGTCCTCCTCATTCCCCCCTTGCCCACAGTCCCCAGCCTCAAGGAACACAGACAGAGGTAGCACCCAAAATGCCAACAAAACATGGCTGCTCTCTGTATCTCTCGTTTCATTCTGAAGATGGTACTGCTTTTCCAGTGGTGTTTCTCAGGAAACATCACTAAAATTCCAATATTTGCATATAGCATTTTCCTTTATTTTCAAAGGGTACCTTGCCAGTGACTATGCTCTGAATTATCCACAGAATTTTGCCAGAGTGATCTGCACAGAAGTTTAGTTTTGTTGTTTGGTCTCATGCTAAGTATTTTTCCAACAACTCAAAAATTTCACCACATCCTCATCCTGACTTAGCCAACCTATTACGAATTCTGTCCATCAAGGCTACAACCCAATGAAGAAAAATGGTCTCACTGTCTCCCCCATGGGATTGGGCTCCCATACCTGTCCTGCTGGAGGAGAGGGGCTACCCCACACCTTTCTTCCCAGCCTACCTCCTCCTAATTTCTGAATCATGCCTTGTAAAAAAATGCTGGAAAAACTGCCCTTCCCCAGTAGCTATGGCTGAGAATAAATTTCCGTAATACATGCATGAATCTTACACAAGCAAATAGCACTCTGGCAAAGACTCTTTTATTTGTTGGTCTAGAAGCAGCAAGCCCTTCATGCTCAGTGCTTTGTTTTATACCCATGTAAATCCACTGGAAAAATAACAGTCCATTTAAAATAGCTACATTCCCACTGAGACTTCAGCGTATGAGAGCCATTTGTGGTTACAAGTGTTGAGGTTGCATTGAAAAAAAAAAAACATTATGAATTTTATTTTAGAACTTAGAAGAGTAAGCTATGTTGGCTCTCAGCAGATATTTCAGCTGCTGTAAAGAAAGTGAGCCAGAGCGTGGGCCCTCTGCCAGCAGGCCTGACAAAGGGATGGCGGCCTCCACACAGGGATGAGGCCACAAGGAGCCCAGGGCCATGCACACCCCAGCAGGTGGCACACAAGACCACGGGCCAGGTGCCAGTAGAGGTGGACACAGAAGTGAGCTGCGACCCACATGGCCCAACTTACCATCTCTTATTGCTTTTTGATAATATTACCAAAGAGCTTGGTAAAAAATAAACTGAATGTTTAGTGTCCATTTGTATTTCTGCTTTTGTGAAGTGGCCATTCATATCCTTTGCTTGTTCCTACATTCAGTGTTTGTTTCTTTTAAGTTGGTGTGTTCAGCTTCACTTGTAATAAAAAAATAAATGATATAAAGAGAAGCAAAACATTCTTACCTACGAAACTGAGATTTTATATTTTTGGTTTCCTTGTTTCTTGGGTGGTATGTTTAATGCTAATGCCCAAAGTTGAAGCTTCGGGCAGGAAGGAGAATCACAGTCAACAAAGGCCTTAGAAATAAGCAGACCCGTTAACCTAGATAGTCTGCTTCTTAGCTTTTTTTTTTTTTTGTCTTTTTCCGTGTCCAGCAACGGATCGCAACCCTCAGTGTCGCCC